CGTGCTACCGTTTTTTGGCAAGTATAATGCTATTGCCTTTATAAACGCTATGGGTACATCGAATGTAGAGGGTGTTACAAAAAGGTAGAGCTGGGAAAAGTTTCATATGAAAGAAGAGAGTTGCCAAGGAAAAAGCTTAAAAAAAAAATTAATATACGTTGGATGCTCAACTGGATAACCAGGAAATGTTTACATTTCAAAAGCTTAAAAGTACTGTTATATTTATTTCGCTATGCGTTCTGGTTCTAGAGATCTTTGACTTTGTCTCAGCGACATACAGAGTGGTTTTTGAAGACTCCATGCGAATGAATCGTAGCGCTTTCGACAGAAGCAACATTTCGATATGAAATAAAATGGTTTTGAAAGTTAATGTAATTCCCTTTCAGGAAAAAGTATTGGCATACTTGACCTTAAAAAAATTGGTCAAAAATAGTGACCTTCGACAAAAATATGCTAAATCCACGGGATTTTTGCAAAAAAAAATAGAGATACAAGGGGGCGCGGCAGGTGAGTTATTGGTTATAATGGTCAAGTGAAGTCATTTAGAGACGCCAAAGATCGAAATAAAATTACCACCGCGACTAAACAGAATAAAGACAATTCTTGATAAATGGCTACAAATACAATTGTAAGATATAGAAGATATTTCGTCTGAAATAAGTCTATGTATATTGGATTTCTGTGGACCAATGATAGTCCCCCATATTGAAATCGTCACCGACTGTACTATACAGATTCAAGGCCGATTCATCATCGTGCCGGATCATTGTTGCCGCTAGAACTTCTTCACGGACATAACGCTTTCATTAGACTATTTAAGACGGGAATTTAGGATATGTCTTCTCACCACCACAAATACAAAAACGTGAACGTGAATTGCTGGTGAAAACGTTGCATAAAATTTTTCAATAAAAAATTAATTTTGGGCGAAACGAAGTATGCTAGTTTCATTATAAACAGGGCTACAAACCGGTTTTGAACCGAATCGTCGCTTTTTCGGTCTTCGAACCGAACCACGAATCGAACCGTCTTTTTTTTTGAAATGCCAAAACCGAACCGAAAACCACTCCAAAATAAGGTTCGGTTCGGTTCAAAATGAAAATCCGCCAAAGCATTTTTCAAGTTTTGTAATACACAATTTTGTCTAAAAATGCAACCCGTATGGCAACATTTTTTTGTTTGGTGGCAACTCTGTGAGTTGTAATATCGTCCATTTAAAGAATGCTTGATTTTTTTTTTATATGGAACAAAATACTTACGCACGTCAACAAAAAAAAATTAAAAAGCTTGGATTTTTATTAGTTCTGATTAAAATGTTTGAAAATTTGATGAAATTTTGTTGAAGTTTGTAGAGTTTTTCAAATTCTCGTACAAGGTTTGAGCTATAAAAAAAATTAATTTTTAGCAAATATCAAAACCGACTTCAATTCTCATATAAAAATATAAGATTATCTTTAATTTCCAATGATCCAACGATCGGATTAGTATGGGACTACCTGTGAGGTAACACCTTTACTTTAAAAAACTAATTATAGAAATCGGTTGACGTGATCCAAAGTTATGCGGTAACGTAC